ACACAGGATACCAGATGAACAGCCAGACAGAAGAGCGTTCCTAATAAATTAATGGAAACAGAAGTATGTTTTGGAAACCATGGATTTTCTTTCTTTTTTTTTAATTAAATGGAACCTCCCTCTGTCACCCAAGCTGGAGTGCAGTGGTGCTATCTTGGCTCACTGCAACCTCCACCTCCTGGGTTCAAGTGATTCTTCTGCCTCAGACTCCCAAGTAGCTGGGATTACAGGTGTCTGCCACCATGCCTGGCTAATTTTTATATTTTTAGTAGAGACAGGGTATTGCCATGTTGGCCAGGCTGGTCTTGAACTCCTGACCTCAAGTGATCTGCCTGCCTCGGCCTCCCAAAGTGCTGGGATTACAGGCGTGGGCCACTGACCTAGCCCAGGGCTTGAGTTTTAAAGGTGTCACAGTACACCTTGGTTCTCTTTTTTTTATAAACAAGAATCTGTCTTCCTGACCTGAGTATTATCTCTATGTGGGAACAAAGGAGAGAGCGCTGGACTCTGCAGAGTGAAGGGAAAATAGCAAAAAATCCAGATGGGAGGGAACGGATTAAAGGTGTGAACATAGGTAAGAGCTCAGATGGGCAGAGTAGAAGCTGTATGATTTTTTTTTTTTTTTTTTTGAGACAGGGTCTTGCTCTGTTAGCCAGGTTGGAGTGCAGTGGCAATCATAGCTCACTGCAGCCTGGAACTCCTGGACTCAAGTCATCCTCCTTCCTCTGCCTCCCAAACTGGTGAGATTACAGGTGTGAGCCATTGCACCCTGCAAAGCCACACTAATAGTGTTTGGGAAACTCTGCAACTGGGAGAATTCTGTGGAAAACCAATAGTATAAATCCTAGTTTTTGTGTGTGTGTGTGTCTGTGTGTGTTTTTTTTTTTTCTGAGACAGTCTCACTCTGTTGCCCAGGCCGGAGTGCTGTGGCACAATCTTGGCTCACTGCAACCTCTGCCTCACAGGTTCAAGCTATTCTCCTGCCTCAGCCTCCTGAGTAGCTGGGATTACTGGTGCCTGCCACCATCCTTGGCTAATTTTTGTATTTTGAGTAGAGATGGGGTTTCACCAAGTTGACCAGGCTGGTCTTGAACTCCTGTCCTCAGTTGATCTGCCTGCCTCAGCCTCCCAAAGTGCTGGGATTACAAGTGTGAGCCACCGTGCCTGGCCTAAATCCTCTTAGTTTTGAATGGAAATTTTCTTTTTTTTTTTTTCTGGGACAGGTTCTTGCTCCGAGACAATGGCAAGTACAAACTAGGTTTACTGTAAATATGAGAAAGGGAAAAAATGCTTTTACTGTATTAGAAGACTTGAAATTGCATGAAGGGATTCTAGTCTTTTGTTGTTTGTCAGATGTTTTAGGTATTTTAAGTGTTTGGGTTTGTTTGTCTTTCTACGTAACTGCTAACCTTGTTGGTATCTGCAGAATGCCTTAATTAGGAAAGGTATTAACCCTATGTGTCAGGTTTGTATAATTTCATATTGTTTTATATGGAGTCTTTGAATAAATGTATATGGTATATGTCTCTATTTGCTGTCTTTGATTTCTTTCATCAGCATTTGGTAGTTGTAACATAATAGTTCTATGAAAGTTTGACATGTATTTCTTTGACCTTTTTTTTAATGGAGCAATCATACATAGTATTTTATTTTTAATATCAGGTTTCACGTGTAAATTCCTAGTGTATAGAAATATATAAGATTATTATTATTATTATTATTATTATTTTGAGACAGGGTCTTACTCTGTCATCCAGGCTGGAGTGCAGCGGAGCAGTCTCAGCTACTGCAACCTCTATCCTGCAAGCTTAAGTCATCCTCCCACCTCAGCTTCCTGAGTAGCTGGCACTGCAGGCATGGGCCACCATGGCCTGTTAAATTTTTGGGTTTTGTAGTGGGTTTCACCATGTTACCCAGCTGGTCTCAAACTCCTGAGCTCGAGTGATGTGCCCACCTTGGCCTCCCAAAGTGCTGGGATTACAGGCATAAGCCACCATGCCTGGCTGATGAAATATACGATATTTTTGTAGGTTGATCTTATACTTTGCTACCTTTACATTTTTCCTGTTCTAGAGATTTTTGTAGATTTTTTTGGAATTTTCTACATAAAACCATTTCATCAGTTTCCCATTGCTATACACAGCGATTGGCTTAAAACAACAAAAATTTATTCTTTTGCAATTCTGTAAGTCACATATCTAATATAGGTCCATAGTTCTCTGATTCTTCATGAATCTCCAGGGGAGAATTTGTTTCCTTACGTTTTGTAGGTTCCAAAGGCCACTTACATCCTTTGACTCATGGTCCACTTCCTCCATCTTTAAAGGTGAGAAAAAAATCTCTTTATCCCTCTATTTTCACCACATCACCACTGTCTCTGTCCCTTGGTGTCCACCTGCACCCTTCTGATATTGAACCTTGTGATTCTATCACTTTGACCATATAATTCAGGATAATGTCTTATCTAAAGATTCTTAACTAGACCATATTTGCAAACTCCCTTTTGACATATCCGGTAACACAGGTTACAGGGATGAAGATACCTTCCTTTGGGGAAGGTATTAGCCTGCACAACCATCGTATTTTCTGTTGGTACACTATTGATTTTTTCTCCTGTCCTCAGGCCACGCTCCTTCCCCAGCCTCCCAAAGCACTGTGATTACAGGCCTCAGACACCACACCCAGCCTGTCACTTTTATTTCGTTTTCCTTTATTTCACTGGCTGGAACCTTTGATATTGTGTAGAACAGCAGTGATGAGAGGGGACATCCTTGCCATCAGCCCAACCTCGGGGGGAAACTATGCTTTCCCCAGTATGTATGATGATTCTGTAAGGGTTGGTAGGTGATCTTGAGTTGAGGAAGTTTCCCATGATACTGTTTTCCATACTGACTGCAGTATTTCAGATTCCCACAACATGTACCAAGATAGTTTCTCCATATCCTTGCTTGTGAAGCAGGTTCACTGCACACTGGTTGCCAGTGTGTCTGAGTTGAGTGAGAGATAATCTCACGCAAACACAGTAAGTTACATGAAGTGGATTTGTTACATACAGATCAGCAGATGCCTGGGATTCATGTGTTCTGCTCCCCAAGGCTCAGGAAAAACACCCAGTGCAGATGCAGTCTCTCTGTGTGTGTTCAGCTTGCATCACAACTTGCATCACAGTTGCGGGAGGCTGGAAGGCGGCCCATCCTGGGTTTCATACTCCAGGGATGCATGGCACATTGGCCTAAAGCAACAAAGGGCATCCTGTTCTGGGGGTCTGGAACACATCCTGTCCTTTTCTCACTGCTCCCTTCCTCTCAGGATGTTGCTTTTCCAGCACATTCTATATTCATTCTTGGGAACTACAAGTGAGAAGTCAGATGCAACTGGGCCAATTCAACCCCACTTGAATGCTGTCCTGCAGTCTCTCCGCCAATCCAGATACCCTTTTATTTTTATCTTTTTTGAGACAGCATCTCACTCTATCTCCCAGGCTGGAGTGCAGTGATGCAATCTTGGCTTACTGCACCTCCACCTCCTAGATTGAAGCAATTCTTGTGTCTCAGCCCCTCGAGTAGCTGGGACTACAGGCGTGTGCCACCATCCCTGGCTAATACATACACACACACACACACACACACACACACACACACACACACACATTTCGTATTTTTAGTAGAGACGCGGTTTCACCATGTCGGCCAGGCTGGTCTCTAACTCCCTACCTCAGGTGATCTGCCCACCTAGGCCTCCCAAAGTGTTGGGATTACAGGCATGAGCCACCATGCCTGGCCCAGATATCCCCTTTAATAAAGCTAGTCCACTGACCTCCCTGGATCTGGAGGTAGAGGCTGGTCTCAGGAGATTGAAGTAATATCTTGACTGGCAGAATCTCAGGGCAACATCATTGAGGTACAGACAGTTGCATTTCACTAGGCTCAAGAGGATTGCTGCCTCCAGCAGGATAACCAAGCCTGCCTGGAGCAGTGCCATAGTCCAGGATCCCAGTGACCGAGGTGAGAAGTTGGTACTCAGATCAAAGAAAAGTTCTTCAGGTGACCCCACTGTCTGCAGCCAGTGGGCCTGCTTGTGGGTCTTAGGTATTTGTGTTTCAAAAATAACTTGAGGTCCCGATGTGGGGTCCTTATCTCCCATGCAAGGTGACTCATGCCTATAATCCCAGCACTTCGGGAGGAGCAGATGGGAAGATTGCTTGAGGCTAGAAGCTGGAGACCAGCCTGGGCAACAAAGCCAGACTACATCTCTATTAAAAAGAAACACAGAAAATTAGCACAGTGGAGAGGCACAGGCCTTTACTTCCAGGTACTTGCGAGGCTGAGATGGGAGGTGCCCAGGACCCCAGGAAGTAAAGGTGCAGTGAGCTATGATTGTGCCACTGCATTCCAGCCTGGGTGGCAGAGACCCTGTCTTAACATTTTAAAAAGCATTAAAAAACTTAAGTTGGGCCGGCCATGGTGGCTACTCTGGAGGCTGGGCCAGGAGAATCACTTGAACCGAGGTGGCAAAGGTTACAGTGAGCTGAGTGTGTGCCACTGTACTCCAGCCTGGGCGACAGAGGGAAACTCTGTCTCAACAACAACAAAAACTTAGTTGTTTATGACTATTTTTAAAAGTTATTATTATTATTATTTTTTAAAGAACAGTTGGTAACTTCTCTTTACATAGGCCTTAGTCCTCCATGCCCAACATGATGTCCCAAGGAAAGTCTCTGGAATTGAGCACCGGGTTGACCTTCACCTTCTAGAGTGAATAGGGAAGATAAATGAAAAGTATGTATCTTCTGTGGGATACTGGCATGAAACAGAACATTCTACCCTGGCAGGGTTTTGCATTTCACATTTTAGCTTGCATCCCCTTCACAGACAATTCCAAAGTGTGTTAATTCAATTTCTAAAGCTTCCCTTCCCTTCCTCCCTTCCTTTTCCTCCTTACTTTTCTTTCTTGTCCATTTATTTTCGTTTTTTCTCTCTTTCTTTCTTGGTTTTCTCTTTTTCAACTTCTCTTTGTTTTCTCTTTCTCTCTCTTTACTCTCTCTCTTCTCTCTCTTTCTGCTTCCAGGGTAGGTGGGACTTGAAATTCATTTTAATAGAAGGAATTTTCGTGGATATAATCAACAACCGATTTTGCTCTGCGCAGGTAAGATCCGTTTTCAGATCGCTAAGCGGATCTTGCCTCCAAAACCCTGAAAACAGGCGCGGCCAGTCAGGCGAACAGAAGCGCAGGCCCCGCCCAGGCCTTGACCGGGTCTGCCGCGGTCCCAGGCAGTCCGGCCTCTAGAATGCCCGCGCAATTTCCCGCAAACCCGGAAGCGGACCTTTGGGGGTGAACGCCTAGAGCGCAGTTTCCGGTAGACCCGGAAGCCGATCGCATGGAGGAACTGTTTAGCAGCAGCGCGTGAGTTTCTTTTTGTCTATGTTAAGTCTAGGCTACCTCGTTCTTCTGCGCTTCTATACCCGGAATCTTAGGGGCGTGCAGACCTTGAAATCGCGGCACTGCTTCCCCCATCCCGAGTAAATTCAGACGTCCTTTGAGAGTCTGGGAGTCGCTTTCAGCGTGTTAAAATCACTTGGAGGCTGGTCCTGTGCCCGGTCTTTTTGTCAGATGCCCACGTAGACACCTCCTATCGTGGGCTTTTCCTGCTTCAAGTCCTTTAGTAACCCCTACACACGCCCCACACCATGTAAAATCCTCACTGTCCGTTCCCCCAGCCTCGCCCTTCTTGGCCGCTGGAGCTCAGCGCCCCAACGGGGCACGAGAGGCCGTGTCCTCTGCCCGGACCTGGTTTCTGCAGACTCCACCCCTCTTCTGACCCACTCCTGCCTTTTTCCTCCTTAATCTGGACCCTCTGTTCCCCAGGCCTCCCTTTCCTAGCCACTGGTTCTCCTGACCCCGAGTGTGGGGAGTGACTTCAGTCTCCTGACATCCAGTGTTCTCTCGAGCCAGCTTCCAGCCCACCGAAAATGAGCTCTTCCTATCCCCTCCCTGTGAATGTGTGGAGAAAAAAGATGGGAACGAGTCAGAGGAAATAGAGAAATTTTGAAAGAGAAATGAAGAATGAGAGAAACAATTAACAGACGGCAAAGTAGAAGGTGAGTGAGGGGTTCGCGGAGACACAGTGAAAGAAGGTGCCGAGAAAATAGCAGGGGGAGAAAAGTAACTAAAAATATAGACAAACCTGGGTCTGTAAAAGATGAAGTTCAACAAGATAGGGAAGGCTTCTCAGACGGAGAGTGGGGGAGAGGAGGAGGAATTTGGAGTCAGGTCAGATAGAGCAGCGTGGCGCTGGGACAGCCAGAGCGGGCAGCTGCTCACAAGGAGAAGAGAGGGAGAACCACAGCAGGGGGAGGCCTGGGATCTGAGGGTTGCCAGAGAGTGGGGACAGGGTTGTGTAACATCGAAGATCGAATTTAACAGGGTGAGCCCAAGGGGAGCCGAAATGTGGGAGGAAAGAGGCAGAAATATATGGAGATTAGGGACAGTGAAAGATTGGGCAGAAAGAGGAATCAAGAGGTGAAACAAGTTGTAAAAATGGATCAGAACAGGTGGGAGAGAAGGAATAGAAAGAAGAATGGGACAAAGAGAAGAGGAGGGACTCAAGATGAACACAATCCTAGGGGAAAATAAAGAGAAAAAAACAGCTAGGGAAAAAAGATGGGAATGAGAGAGATGTACAGAATGAGGGAGGGAAACAGTAGTGAGGAAAGAGGGGGACACTGGTTACAGATGAGTGGTGAGTTGATTGGAAATTATGATTGAATTGTGACATATTAATTTCTCTATAATATAAAATCTGTTTAAAACACATGAGGCTAGGGGCTGTGGCTCACACATGTAACACCAGTACTTTGGGAGCCTGAGGTGGGCAGATCACTTGAGGTCAGGAGTTGAGTGAGACCAGCCTGGCCAACATGGTGAAACCACGTCTCTAGTAAAAATACAAAAATTAGCTGGGCCTGGTGACCTGGGCCTGTAATCCCAGCTACTCAGGAGGCTGAGGCAGGAGAATTGCTTAATCCTGGGAGGCAGAGGTTGCAGTGAGCTGAGATTGCATCACTACACTCCAGGTTAGGTGACAGAGCAAGACTCCATCTCAAAAAAAAAAAAAAAAAAAAACACAGATGAAGATGAGAATTGGAACACTATTTTTAAGGCATGTGTGTTTTATAATTTCTGGCATCAGAGGTTAGCTTCCACTTGTAATCTGTATTCTGCCCGGGGGCGGTGACTTGGCTCATTCAGGTGTGGTTCACTCTCTTTTTTTTGGATGGACTAGGGCGTGAGCGAGTGTATAAGATAGGAAAAACTAAAGTGGTTTTTGTGCTCACAGTGAATACAGTAAAGAGCATGCAACCCAGAATGCCTCATCTCTGCTCACCAAAATCATATGGGAATTACTTGTCACCAACAAGCAATTCTTCATCAGACAGCACCTGGGTGTTCTGTAATTTTACTCAGTTTAACTGGTTAGTGTAGGAACAATCACACACACATTTTGATCACTAGAGGTGAGGTATTCTCTTGGGTGTGAGAGTAGTAAAAACTGGTTTTTTTCCCGTCTCAAACAGTAAGGGCAAGAATTTTCCAATAGGCCCACCCACCTGTCTCTAGGACTGTGTTCTTACTCAGTAGTGACTGGGAATTGTCTGTCCCTGCTCCTGGCTGCTGCTGATGCTGAGACGGTGTGCCACAGGCCAGCCCCATTCACACTCTCCTGATGCCATGGTACCCCTCCTCCACAGTGTCATCAGTTTTTACTTCAAGGGAATTATTTTGGTCATTGTACCTAGATGGAGCTGTTGCCCATTAAAACACACACACACACACACACACACACACACACACACACCCCTTTATTTTTCCCACTAGTTCATCCTCTAAAGAAAAAACAAAGTATTAGCTACATTTTTACTTGCAGTAAGTCTGCCTTTTCTGTGCTCCATGTAAGAGCACAATATACCAAAATCTTGTTTAAGCTGTCTATCACTCTTTCCTCCACTTCTTGCTTGACCCCATCCAATCAGGTTTTGACATCAACCATTCCTCTGCTCCTTTTTTTTAATCTGAGTCACCAGTGACTTCTCTGTTTCTAAATCTAGTTATTTTTTCATTTAATTTTTAGAGACAAAGTCTTGCTCTGTCACCCAAGCTGGCATGCAGTGGCACAGTCATAGTTCACCATAACCTCAAACCCCTGGGCTCCAGCAATCCTCCCATCTCAGCCTCTGGAGTAGAAGGACTATGGGCCTGTCCCTCTACCTGGCTGATTAAAAAAATTTTTTTTAGAGACAGTCTCACTACATTGCCCAGGCTGGTCTTGAACTTCTGACTTCTAGCCATCCTACAAACAAGTCCCAGCATGGTGGGATTAGAGGCATGAGCCCCTGTACCCTGCTTAAATCCGACTTTGAATTTTCCGTCCTCATCTGTCTTTTTCTGTCAGCAGCATGTTTCACAGCTGATCACTCTATTTTTTCTCAGCTTTGAAGATATTGCTCATATTTTTAAAAATCTGTTTAAAATTTTTCTCATCACTTTAGTATCTTATCAGTTACCTCTGCTGGTGTCTCCTGAAGTGTCTTCTCTGAATATGGAAATGTCACCCAATTTAGTCATTAAACCTGTTCTGTCTGCCCATACCCTCTGCTTTTCCTTTTGATCTCATCTATGGCTTTAAACACCACCACCCTGTCTCCATTTTCCCTCACCACCCACCCCTCTCCCCTGAATTCCAAAATCCTGTGTCCAATGGTGTTCTCAACATCTCTGCTGGGACATCCACAGGCATCTCTACCTCTACGTGTCCAAAAGAGACTGCCTGAACTCCCCCAAACGTGTTCTCCCTACAGTGCTGCGTAGCTCAGATGACAGATGCCTTGTATTTTCTGGGGGTTAACTAAACCTGTCAAAATGTGGTTAAAATATATGAGATACTATTTGTGTTTTAATTTCTAAGGTAAAGAATAAATGACATGTTTACTTAAAATGAGTGAGGAAATAGATTGTTTCAAAATTTCTTTTGATGTGTGGGAGAAAATATTTGAAGAGCTCAGCCCTGCATAATCTGCTTCCCCAGCACCTCTCTGACCTCATCTCCTGCCTCTGTTCTTCCTGCTCCCTCTACTGCAACTACACAGCCCCCTTTCCTTTTCCAAGAGCGTTTTGTATTTATAAAATAAGTGCTTGATCGAAGTATGATTTTAGGAATCACACAGTTTATTACCACATGAAGAATTTTTTTTATTTTTATTTTTTTATTTTTTTTTTTAGGTTCACAAAGTTTAAGAAAGGGAGAATAAAGTGGAAAAATCTCAGAGGGAATCCACTCAACAGATGAGGTACTTTAACTACATTGTAGGTGAATTCCAAAATGGTTAACATCTGTTTGCTGAGTTAGGCTAAATCAGGCCTATGTAGAAAGTCACAGTTTGAGGATTACCTCGGGGTGAGGTCTTCCCTTTTTGTGTGGCTGTGACACAGGAAGGATGTATGTTGATTCTAAGCCCTAAACAGCGTATTTTGGCATTCAGGATTCACTTCCAAAGAGACATATTATGCAAGGAAGCAACTCGGAAAACGAAAGAGAAGGAGTCAGGAATGGCCCTTACTCAGGTAAGGTAATATTCTCAGTGGATTGTTCTGTCTCTGTTTCTTCCTGAAGTGCCAGGCCTTGGAGTTGCTAATCTTTGACTCTGAAGCATCCTGCCTGACACGTTTGCTGGCACTTACCCATGGCTTCTTCCAGTCCCTTCATTTCCGCTTGAGATTTCAGTTCACTGTGACCCAGTGACATGAACTTGGGAAGAGCCTGCACTGGGCATGGTCCTGGGGAGGGCTCACACCCAGACATGGATGGAGACGGGGTGTGGGTCCCGTGGTGTCAGTGCTGCTGGGCAGCAGGGATTGTTAAGGGATCACATCTGGATGCACTGTCAGTGTTCTGTGGACTAGAAATAGAGAAGCTGCGTGTCAAAGTTCCAGGTTCCTTTCTTTCGTTTTTCTTCTCTTTTCTTTTTTTTTTGGAGACAGAGTCTTGCTTTGTTGCCCAGACTGAAGTGCAGTGGCATGATCCCTGCTCATTGCAACCTCCGCCTCCCAGGTTCAAAGGTTTCTTCCACCTCAGCCTCTCGTGTAGCTGGGATTACAGGTGTGCACCACCACTCCAGTCTAATTTTTGTGTTTCTAGTAGAGATGGGGTTTCGCCATGTTGGTCAGGTTGATCTTGAAAGCCAGCCTGAAGTGATTCGGTCAGTTCGGCCTCCCAAAGTGCTGGGTTTACAGGTATGAGCCACCTCACCCAGCCACAAGTTACATATTAATGTGCGTGAGTATTTGGTAAATTCTGGAAAAAGAGTTCACAAAAGGGAAATATTTTCTGCCTGATTTTGGATTACAGTGGAAGCTACACAAGTGAGTAACTTACTCAGATTATCTTAATGATCGGTAAAGTAATGGAATGTTTAGATAAACACATCAGTGATAGTGTTTTATTCCCTTTATAAACTGTTCTTTGTAAAATATGAAATCAAGTTTAATGTCTTAACAGCAAGAGATTCAAAAGCATTTACAAATCTGTCACCTTTTCCCGTTTTTTGTCTCTGTCTCTGACTTGGTTCAGGGAGGACATTCTGTTGTCATTCTTAGCACATCCCTTCCACAGAGACTGGTGCTCCTGCAGGAAGTCTTGTACAGTTGCTGTGCTAGTCGAAAAAGGTTATAATTTTGCTTAGAGATTGCAGTAGAATTTCCCCTCCCCTCCCCTCCTCTCCCCTCCCTTCCCCTCCCTTCCCCTTTCCTTCCCTCCCTTCCCCTTTCCTCCCCTTCCTTTTCTCTCCTTTTTTCTTTTTTTTTTAAAAAAAGGAGATGGAATCTCACTATGTTGCTCAGGCTGGTTTTGTACTCGTGGGATCAAGCCATCTTCCTGCCTTGGCCTCCCAAAGCGCTGGGATTACAGGTGTGAGCCACTGTGCCCAGCCTAGAATTTCTTTCTCTCTAGAGAGGAGGAAATCATATTCTTGTACCACCAATTATTATGAATAATTTTTTTATTTTAAGCAATGAAATTATGTGTATTTTTTAATAGGAAAAGCCCAAACAAACATGCAGCTTATTAACACAGTAAATACAAAGCATCCCATCCCCTGTCCAGCCTTCCACTCTCTCCCGTATCTCACTGGGGGGCCACTGTTGTCAGCTCTGTGTCAAGAGTCCCCTCAAGTCCTAGACAAATGTATTTATAGCTTTGTGACACATGCTTTTAAGTCCTCAGTGGTGGTTTTGTTGTGATATTTTATTCTAAAAGTTGTGAAAATGTGTGTGTTTTCATGTTAGGAAGATGGATTGCTTGCCCTTTACATCCTCATGTGAACGTTCTCTGAATTCGAAATCAGTCACCTCTCTCAGAAGTTCGAGACCAAGCTGGCCAATGTGGTAAAAACCCGTCTCTACCAAAAATACAAAAAATTAGTAAGGCCACACGTGGTGGCTCATGCCTGTAATCCCAGCACTTTGGGACGCTGAGGCGGGTGAAACATGAGGTCGGGAGTTCCAAGATCAGCCTGGCCAAGATGGTGAAACGCCATCTCTACTAAAAAATACAAAAATTAGCCAGGTGTGGTGGCAGGCGCCTGTAATTCCAGGTACTCGGGAGGCTGAGGCAGAAGAATTGCTTGAACCTGGGAGGTGGAGGTTGCAGTGAGCTGAGATCACGCCACTGCACTCCAGCCTGGGTGACAAAGTGAAACTGTCTCAAAAAAAAAAAAATTAGTTGGGTGTGGTGGCTCACACCTATAATTCCAGCACTTTGAGATACCAAGGCAGGTGGATCACCTGAGCCCAAGAGTTCAAGACCAGCCTGGCCAACATAGTGAAACCCTGTCTCTACTGGTTAAAAAGAAAATACAAACATTAGCCAGGTGTGGTGGCGGGTGCCTGTAATCCCAGGTACTCGGGAGGCTGAGGCAGAGGAATTGCTTGAACTTGGGAGGCGGAAGCTGCAATAAGCTGAAATTGCACCACTGCCCTCCCCCTGCCCCCCAAAAAAGGAGAGAGAAATCAGGAGTTTGTGATTTCTTCTGCATGATGCCACGTCATGCCAGGCAGGGGCTCCAGCAAATGGGTGTCACACATTTTTCCCACGGGGCTCCCAGCGGGTTCACTTGGTGCTGGTGCTTCTCTGGGTGCAAGAACTTCCTGAGTGGCTTCTGGATTTCTCACAAAGGCAGTTGGCCTATTTATGGTTGAATTTGTGTCTCCATGGAGACAAAATGGTCTGTGGCTTCCTATTCCTGTATCTTGCTGATAGGACTCTTTGAGTATACTTGTAGATTTCTTACACAGGTCTGGAATGTCTTTAATTAGATGCCTTGTAGATTTACTAAGGGAGATGTAGGATGTTTCTTTGTGTGTATGTCATTGTATAAATAGTGCTGCTAAGGAAGGAAACTTGTTTTCAATATATTGTTCTTGGTGAATATGCTAAGATTGCATTCTTTTTCTTGATTACAGTCATGTCATTCATTAGTATTAACAGATCCAGCTCTTTTCTGACCCTTTTCTTTCTGCCTTGTCCCTCTGCTTCTTGTCTCTGCTTAGGCATCCCGTGCAGTGAGGATTGGCTGCAGCATAGACCAGCCCCCTTTTCCGTCTCTTAAAGTAGAGGAAATCTATTCCATGTTTACTGCTAATTAAGATCTTTCATGAGATGTTCTTGCTTAATATCATGAGGGATTTTTCTTGTTTTGTTTTCCAGTTTGGTTTTGGCTTGATTTTTTTTTTTTTTTTTTGAGACAGAGTCTCTCTGTCACCCAGACTCAAGTGCAGTGGCACAATCTCGACTCACTTCACCTCCACCTCCTAGGCTTAAGCAATTGCCATGCCTCAGGCTACGAAGTAGCTGGGATTACAGGTGTGTGCCACCACATTCGGCTAATTTTTGTATTTGTAGGAGAGACGGCGTTTCGCTATGTTGGCTAGGTTGGTCTCAAATTCCTGACCTCATGTGATCTGCCTGCCTCTGCCTTCCAAAGTGCTTATTGATATGAGCCACTATGCCCGGCCAATATCGAATAATTTCTTTTTTCTTTTCTTTTTTTTGAGACAGAGTCTCACTCTGTCACCCAGGCTGGAGTGCAGTGGTGCGATCTCGGCTCACTGTAAGCTCTGCCTCCCAGGTTCATGCCTGCGTCAGCCTCCCAACCATCTGGGACTACAGGCACCTGACACCACGCCTGGCTAATTTTTTGTGTTTTTAGTAGAGGCAGGGTTTCACTGTGTTAGCCAGGATGGTCTCGATCTCCTGACCTCGTGATCCACCTGCCTCGGCCACCACTCCCAGCCATATCCAATAATTTCTTAAGGTATAGGGTGATGAGGTATTTTCTTTGCCCTTAATATGTTAACTTAATATACTAATTTCCTGTAACATAACACCTTTTTATTAATGGAATAAATTAGTAAACTTCATTTAATTTTGTTAATACCTAAATAACAATATTTTAATGGACCAAACTATATTTATAGGCCAGAAGCAGTGACGTGTGCCTATAATCCTAGCTTCTTGGGGGAGCTGAGGCGGGAGGATCCATTCAGCCCAGGTTTGAGACTATTCTGGACAACCTAGTGAGACCCTGTCTAAAATTTAAAAAATACTATATTTTTGAATATGGATATTTAGTAGAGATTGGAGTTCAAGTTTCTGTGGTTTTACATGGTCTCCCATTTTTAATCGCCTACCATATGTTTATAAACTAAATTGGTACAATTTATACATTTTTATTGTTGCAAACATGCTGAAATACACATTAGGAAAAATAGTACTTACAAGTAGGCACAGTAGTTCATGCCTTTAGTTTCCCGCTTGGGAGACTGACGAGGAAGGATCCTTTGACGCCAGGAGTTCAAGGTTATGGTGCACTATGAATAGCCACTGCCATCCAGTTTGGACACTGTATTGAGACCCTACATCTAAAAATTGCCAACCAAACTACTGATGAAAAATATCATGTAAAAAATAGGTCACTGGGGCTGGGTGCAGTGGCTCATGCCTGTAATCCCAGCACTTCGGGAAGCCGAGGTGGGCAGATCAAAAGGTCAGGAGTTTGAAACCAGCGTGGCCAACATAGTGAAACCCCATCTCTACTAAAAGTACAAAAATTAGCCAGGCGTGGTGGCACATGCCTGTAGTCCCATCTACTTGGGCAGCTGAGGTAGGAGAATCGCTTGAACCTAGGAGGTGGAGTTTGTAGTGGTGAGCCGAGATCGCACCACTGCACTCCAGCCTGGGCAACAGGGCAAGGCTCCATCTCAAAAAAAAAAAAAAAAAAAATAGGTCAGGGAGACAACAACTCTTATTTCAGCTGATGTGTGTAAGTGTATATGTGTACTAGTGTGTATGAGTGTTAGTGTGTATAAGTGTGTACATGTGGTGTGTGGATGAATGCACAGATGAGCAAGCCTGTGATTTTTATGAATGGCATGTCGTCATTTTATATACATTTTATATTTTTTTAATGAGTTCAGATTACGTCTTAAGTATTTACCAGGTTCAAATTTTTCTATACTATCATGCTAATGAGCTGATAGCTATAAGAATAAGAATGTATTATGGGGATATATAATATATTATATATATCCAGATATAATGACCTTTTAGGCAGTTTGGTGTTTTTAATCCTTGAACTTATTTTAAGTTTACTGAATTAGGTAAATGTCAATTTTCTTTTGATGCTGATCTGTTACTTAACTGTTTGATTCTTTAGGTTTGATTCTAATGTCCAGACACCTGGGATCCAGTGCTTACACTGCCATTTTTAGTCCTGACACCTGGGGGGAGTTTGTTAGAATATATGTGAAAGAGTTGTCTCTTCAGTAAGATAGGAACAGACCATTCTTTCTTGTTTTGTTTGTTTGTTTTTTTAGATGGAGTCTCGCTCTGTCACCCATTCTGGAGTGCAGTGGTGAGATCTTGGCTCACTGCAACCTCCGCCTCCCAGGTTCATGCGATTCTCCTGCCTCAGCCTCCCAAGTAGCTGGGATTACAGGTGTCTGCCACCACACCCAGCTCATTTTTGTATTTTTAGCAGAGACTGAGTTTCACCGTGTTGGCCAGGATGCTCTCAATCTCTTGACCTTGTGATCCGCCTGCCTTGTGATCCTCCAGTTCATGTAAAGCATTTAGAATAGTGCCTATCACATGGGAAGTGTTCCATTCAGCCATTGCTATTGTTATCACAGCTTTCAGATTTTGACCATTTTTTATTTTATTTATTTGTTTTTTTGAGTCAGAGTGTTACTCTTGTCTGTTGCCCAGCCTGGAGTGCAGTGGCATGATCTCAGCTCACTGCAAACTCCATCTCCCAGGTTCAAGAGATTCTCCTGTCTCAGCCTCCTGACTAGCTGGGATTACAGGCTCTCACCACCACACCTGGCTAAGTTTTTTCTATTTTTAGTAGAGACAGGGTTTTACCATGTTGGCCAGGCTGGTCTCGAACTCCTGACCTCAGGTGATCCACCTGCCTCGGCCTCCCAGAGTGCTGGGATTACAGGCATGAGCCACTGCACCTAGCCAAGATTTTGTCCATTCTTAAAAACTACAGTAGGTTGGGGCTGGGCACAGTGGCTGATGTCTGTAATCCCAGCACTTTGGGAGGCCAAAGCAGGCAGATCAGTAGGTCAAGAGATCGAGACCATCCTGGCCAACATGGTGAAACCCCATCTCTACTAAAAACATAAAAAAATTAGCCAGTCGTGGTGGCAGGTACCTGTAATCCCAGCTACATGGGAGGCTGAGGCAGGAGAATCACTTGAACCTGGGAGGTGGAGGTTGCAGTGAGCCGATATCATGCCATTGCATTCCAGCCTGGGCAAAAAGAGCAAAACACCGTCTCAAAAAAACAAACAAACAAACCCAAAACTACAGTAGGTTGTAGGTTGGGTGCGGTGGCTCATCCCTGTAATCTCAGAACTTTGGGAGACCAAGGTGGGAGGATGGCTTGAGCTTAGGAGCTCAAGACCAGCCTGGGCAACATGGTGAGACACCATATTTATAAAAAATACAAAAATAAGCCAGGCATGGTGTCGTGAGCCTGTAGTCCCGGCTACTCCAGAGGCTGAGGTTGGAGGATCACTTGTGTTTGGGAGGCAGAGGTTGCAGTGAGTCAAGATTGTGCCACTGCACTCCAGTCTGGGTGACAGAGTGACACCCTGTCTCAGAAAAAATACAAAACCACTGTAGACATCATGATCTCTGAAGACACCACTTGAATTGCATCTCAGGTAGATACTGGATATCACTTGGTGTCTAAAAGCACCTAACACTCCTATAGAGATCACCCTGGATTAAATTTTTGTTTGTATTGTCCAAAAATGAGACATCTACACTGATTTAAAGAATGCCTTAATTTCTTATGGAGAAGTATAATAAAACAACAATTACACAGAACTGGCTTAAGCATACCTTAATATGGATTTTTCACAGTGCTCACATCAGTGGAGTCAATCCTTAACAACTGTCTTCCTGTTCTGTGTGACGGTGAGTACTGCCTGCATACCCTGTTGCTGAAATGTGGATTTTCTTTTAGGGACCCTTGAAATTCATGGACGTGGCTATAGAATTCTCTCAGGAGGAGTGGAAATGCCTGGACCCTGCTCAGAGGACTTTATACAGGGATGTGATGTTGGAGAACTATAGGAACCTGGTCTCCCTGGGTGAGGATAATGTCCCTTCAGAAGCCGGGATCTGCCCTGGTGGATCTCTGCATTCGTGTCGTGTGTGGGTCTTGGAAGCTCCTGCATTGCTTGACTGAGATTGAAACCTCATTGACTCAGAATTGAAAAGCTCTATTACACTTTCCGGACTTGAAATGTCCCCTTTTTTCAGGTGTTCTCCTCCCTTCACGATTCATCATTGGTGGCACCAGGGCTGAAGTATGCATGAAACCTTATGACAAACTTTAAAAATATCCAATTTCCTGTTTTCTAGCCCTGTGCTTTTGATTCTGTAGTTCTTGGAAGGGGGATCTATGTCTGCATGTTACAATATTCCCTAAGCGCTCAGAAAGAGGCAGGCAGTAGATGAATTTGTGAAATACATTTTTTTTTTTTTTTTTTTTTTGGTGACGGAGTCTCGCTCTGTCGCTCAGGCTGGAGTGCAGTGGCTGGATGTCGGCTCACTGCAAGCTCCACCTCCCGGGTTCACGCCATTCTCCTGCCTCAGCCTCCCGAGTAGCTGGGACTACAGGCGCCCGCCACCTTGCCCGGCTAGTTTTTTGTATTTTTTAGTAGAGACGGGGTTTCACTGTGTTAGCCAGGATGGTCTTGATCTCCTGACCTCGTGGTCTGCCCATCTCAGCCTCCCAAAGTGCTGGGATTACAGGCTTGAGCCACTGCGCCCGGCCTAAATACTATTTTTGACTTATTAGTAATATCCTCTCTCCTCCCTAAATATAGAGCTTGGACTTGGGAGATGCCACAGCACACATTTATTCTTTCTTTTATAAATAGGAATCTGTCTGCCTGACCTGAGTATTATCTCCATGTTAGAGCAAAAGAAAGATCCCTGGATTCTGCAGAGTGAAGAGAAAATAACAAACAATCCAGATGGCAGGGAATGCATCAAAGGTGTGAACACAGGTGAGAGCTCGGGTGGGCAGAGTGGAGGCCCCATATTTTTTATTTTTTGAGACAGGGTCTCACTCTGTCATCCAGGCTAGAGTGCAGTGGCAATCATAGCTCACTGCAGCCTTGAATTCCTGGACTTAAGGGATCCCCCTGGCTTGCTCTTCCAAAGTGTTGGGATTACAGCCATGAGCCACTGTGCCCTGCAAAGCCACCCTATTACATAGTATTTGGGAAACTCCCTGCAAATGGGAGAATTCTGTGGGAAAACAAAAGTTGAAATCTTGTGAGTTCTGAACAGATATTTTTCTTTATTTTCCTATTTCTTCTTGGAGATAGGATCTCTCTTGGGTCGCCCAGGCCAGAGTGTAGTGGCGTGATTACGGCTTGCTGCATCCTGGACTTCCTGGGCTTAAGTGATTCTCCCACCTCAGCCTCCTGAATAGCTGGGACTACAGGTGTACGCCACCATGCCTGGCTAATTTTTTGTATTTTCTGTGGAGATGGGGTTTCACCATGTTACCCAGGCTGGTCTTGAACTCCTGGGCTCAAGCAGTCTGCCTGCCTCAGCTTCCGAAAGTGTTGGGATTATAGGTGTGAGCCACCATAACCAGCAAAGTGTGTTGTTTAATTGACACATATTTGTGGATCTTTAAATTTTTCTTCTTTTGTCTGGGCACGGTGTCTCATGCCTGTAATCCCAGCACTTTGGGAGGCTGAGGCAGGCAGATCACTTGAGGCTAGGAGTTCAAGACCTGTCTGGCCAATATGGTGAAACACTGCCTCTGCTAAAATAACAAAAATCAACTGGGTGTGGTGGCAGGTGCCTGTAATCCCAGCTACTCAGGAGGCTCAGGCAGGAGAATCGCTTGAATCCAGGAGGTGGAGGTTGCAGTGAGCCAAGATTACGCCATTGCACCCTGGCTTGGGTGATGGAGTGAGACCGTGTCTCAAAAAAAAAAAAAAATTTTTTTTCTTTTGTTAATTTCAACATTACCTGCCTCCACCTCCGGAGTAGCTGGGATTACAGCCATGCACCACCACACCTGGCTAATTTTTGTACTTTGAATAGAGATGGGATTTTTCCATGTTGGGCAGGCTGGTCTCGAACTCCTGGCCTCATGTGATTATCCTCCCTTAGCCTCCCAAAGTGCTTGGGATTACAGGTGTGAGCCACTTCACCCAGCCCAAAACATTCTATTTTAAATGTTAACAGCTTATCTTTGATTAGGTACCCAAAGCTCTGCTTAACAACTGTGTTCTCGCTTTCTGTTATTACTGGCAGAAATTAATCCTATATATTTTATGTTCCCATTAACATATGTTTTTAATGCTGTTTAAATGAGAGTGGTTTCTTTTTTTTTTTTGAGATGGAGTCTCCTTCTATCTCCCAGGCTGATCTCGGCTCGTTACAGCCTCTGCCTCCCTGGTCCAAGTGATTCTCCTGCCTCAGCCTCCTGAGTAGCTGGGATTACAGGCACCCATCCCCATCCCCAGCTAATTTTTGTGTTTTTAGTAGAGACAGGTTTTTTCCATGTTTGCCAGGCTGCTTTCCAGTTCCTGACCTCAAGTGATCCACCTGCCTTGGCCTCCCAAAGTGCTGGAATTACAGGCATGAGCCACTGTACCTGGCCTGATTGTGTCTTTTAAATTGTAGGAAAGAATTAAAAGTCAAGTTACAAATGAAAAGTGCAACGATACATGTTTCTGTATTTGATCATTTGTTGACCTTTTATGATGAACTTTTTATTTTTAGGGGATGGAGTTTTTCTCTGTTGCCCAGGCTGGCATGCAATGGCAGGATCTTGGCTCACTGCAACCTCTGCCTCCTGGGTTCAAGTGATTCTCCTGCCACAGCCGCCCGAGTAGCTGGGATTACAGACACCATGCCCAGCTAGTTTTTGTATTTTTAGGAGAAACGGGGTTTCACCATGTTGACCAGGCTCGTCTCGAGCTCCTGACCTCAGGTGATCCACCCATCTTGGCCTCCCAAATTGCTGGGATTACAGGCATGAGCCACCGCGCCCTGCCTATGATGACCTTTATGTTTTCTTTTGGGTTAAAGATACTATCCAGAGTGCTTTCATTTCATCTTGAATCCTCGTTTCAGCATTTCTTCTTGGACAGGTCTAGAATACTAATTAACTTCCTCAGGCTTTCTTTAGGAAAGTCTGAAATTCGCCTTTATTTTTGCAGGTGAGATTTGCTAAGTGTAATATTCTTCATTGCTGTTTTGCCTGTTTTTCTTTAAGCACTGTCAGTATGTCACCTCACTGCCTTCTAGCCTGAAGATGTCTGCTGGAAAATACATATAATCTGACAGTTTCCTATTGTCTGACAAGTCTCTTTTTTGTTGCTACTGTCAAGATTTTGTCTTTGTCTTTTTTTGACTTTTGATAATTCATAGTATGTCTCTGTGTGAATGTATTTGGGTTAATTTTAGTTAGAATGGTCAAGTTTCTTTTTTTTTTTTTTTTTGAGATGGCGTTTCACTCTTGTTGCCCAGGCTGGAGTGCAATGGCACGATATTGGCTCACTGCAACCTCCCCCTCCTGGGTTTAAGCGTTTCTCCTGCATCAGCCTCACAGGTAGCTGGGATTACAGGCACCTGCCATGATAGTCTCTTTTTCATGCATTGTTTTCCTGATTTCATTTAGTTGTCTATCTCATCTATGTTTTAGCTCGTTAAGCATCTTAAGACAGTCGCTTTCGGCTGGGCGCGGTGGCTCAAGCCTGTAATCCCAGCACTTTGGGAGGCCGAGGCAGGCGGATCACGAGCAGGAGATCAAGACCATCCTGGCGAACACGGTGAAACCCTGTCTCTACTAAAAATACAAAAAAAAAAAAATTAGCCGGGTGTGGTGGCGGGTGCCTGTAGTCCCAGCTTCTAGGGAGGCTGAGGCAGGAGAATGGCTTGAACCCGGGAGGTGGCGGAACTTGCAGTGAGCCAGGATTGCGCCATTGCACTCCAGCCTGGGCAATAGAGTGAGACTCCATCTCAAAAAAAAAGTTGCTTTCAATGTTTGTGAAGTAATCAGAGGGCTGCCTTTTTCTAGGTCGGGTTTGTGGAAAAAAATTTTTTTAATTATAATTTTAGCCATATTTCCATGTCCTTATGTAGGCTTTGTAATTTTTGTTTTAGGTTTGCTAAAACAACCACTTCTTCCAGTTCTTTTTTTTTTTTTTTTTTTTTCCTTGTTTGACAGAGTCTTTGTTGCCCAGGCTGGAGTGCAGTGGTGTGATCTTGGCTCACTTCAACCTCCACCTCCCAGATTCAAGTAATTCTCTTGTCTCAGCCTCCTGAGTAGCTGAGACTCTGGGCGCACACCACCACACCTAGCTAATTTTTGTATTTTTAGTAGAGACGGGGTTTCACCTTATTGGTCAGGCTGGTCTTGAACTCCTGACCTCAGGTGATCCACTCACCTCGGCCTCCCAAAGTGCTGGGATTATAGACATCAGCCACCATGCCCAGCCGGGTCTCTAACTACTGACCTCAAGTTGTCCAGCCTGCCTTGGTTTCCCAAAGTGCTGGGATTACAGGCATGAGCCACTGCACTGACTGTTCCAGTTCTTTTGTCTAAGAATTGTACAGGGTGAGACCTTTACAAATCAACGTGTTGTAAAGGATGTGGGTGCCACCTGCATGGACCTTGGGGGACTGAACAAAAGGAGCGAACGTGGGAATAAAAGACAAAGACAATAGAGTATATTTGGAAGAAAGGGTCAGGGGGCTCCTTGCTTCTAGTAAACAAGGGCCCTGAGCTTTAGAGCCCTTCACAATTTATTGGGTAAAGGATAGAGGGAGAAGGGGGTGGTGGTTGTCAGTCAGTGGCTTGATTTACAGCAGGCTTGCAAGACTGCATTCTTTAAACAATAGGCTCAAGATGTCCCAGTAGATAATGAGCACAGCACCAGGGAATGATTGCTTTCAGCAAACCTTCTGGTGGCAGGCGCAGTCATGAGTTTGCCCGCATCCTGCATTCATGATAAACAGTTTGCTGTTTGGTCATAAAGCCTCCAATGGAATGCCGAGTTGGTCACATCTCTCGGGCCATCGGCTCCCTATGTCTTCCCCTTTGTGTTTATGTATTGCTGTTACAGATTTATCTAAGCATTGGCCTACCTAAAAGTTCTATTGGAAATAGGGGGTAGGGAGAATAAAAGCAAAGGTTTCTGTAGCTGTAGCCAGGAGCCATGTCTCTGCTGAAGCATTTGCTCTACAAGCCATAATTCTTCAGCCTCTCAATTGCCACGGGGAATTGAAGGAAGAATCTCCTTGCAGGGTTTGGTAAAGATGTGTAAGTTTGATAGGTGGCAATACCTAGCATCAGGTGTAGCCAATTAATATCTCTTAGTAATTGTTGAAAATCATTTAAAGTCTATAATGTGTCTTTACCAAGAACTGTTTTCTGAGGCCGTACACTCCTCTCTATAACAATATTTCCTTCATAATGGTATGGGGAAGTTATTTGCACTTCCTCTGGAACAATTTTGGGATTCCATTTAACAAGAGCTTGCATTACATCTCTGAATAATTGATGTAAAATTTGATCTGTAGGAGCAGCCAAAAGAATATCGTCCATAAAATGAATGATACACGCAGTGGGAAACATATTTTGAGGCTCCCCTAAAGCTCTTCCCACAAAATGCTGACATAATGTAGGACTGTTAAGCAAGCCTTGAAGTAAAACTTTCCATTGATAGCAAGAAACAGGTTCTCTATGATTAACAGAAGGCACAGAGAAGGCAAATTGAGGCTTATCCTTCTCCTGTAATGGTAAAGAAACAATCCTTGAAATCTATTACTACAGGAGGCCAGTCTGTGGCTGCCGGGGAAGGTAAAACCCTGCTGGAATGCACCCATTGGTTTAATTTGTGCATTAATAGCTCTCAAATCATGCAGCAATCACCATCTTCCAGACTTTTTTGGAATAACAAATACTGGTGAATTCCAGGGACTGACTGCTGTATATGTCCTGCGTTCAATTGTTCTTTTACCAACAGTTGAAGTCAATCTAGCTTCTCCTGTGTTAGGGGCCATCGATCCACCTACACAGGTTTGTCACTAAGCCATTCTAATGGTAAGGCAGTGGGCGGAGGAGAAATATCAATGACCCCTGTCAGAAATCCTGACGTCTTAGCCCTTTTCTGTTTTTCCAGTTACTGATAACGGATTAGGGTTTCCTCGTAGGAATTTCCCTAAGCCTTTTCTACTCTGTTATCCCATGTCCTTCAACATTTTAAATCCTGGGTTACCAAAGTTTTCATTCGTAAGTCTCATTCCATGCTGTAAGTCTTGATCCTGTAAATTGATGGCTGTATTTGCAACATAAGGCTGGAAAGTACGTGCTTGTCCATCCGGACCAAGACAAGGTAAAATCTCAGCACTCTGTTGAACACTTTTAGCTGCTCCTCCCACTAGGGATGTGGAGGTTAGTCTCAGAGACCATGCTGGGCGCCAGTCTTTACTGGATATTACTGACACATCAGCTCCTGTGTACATTCACCCATACAATTTCTTTCCTTTAATTTGTACTACGCAGGTGGGTCTGTTAGAGGCTGTAGGTTGGGATAGATTTCCCATGTAATTGTGCTCCCAAAGCCTTTATTTCCTCGTTTCTCGTTTTGTGAAGACAGGTGTAATTTGCAGGGACTAAGCAATAGCTGAGCAGTATATTCTCCCAGTTCAAAAACCCAAAGATCTTATAACATTAAAACTACTTGAATTTCTCCTTCATAATCGGAGTCAATCAGTCCTGGGACTACAGTGATGCCTTGCAAGTTAAGGTGGCTTTTGCCTAAAATTAGTCCCATGTATCCTGTTGGTAAATGTCCCCAAATGCCAGTGGGAATTTTGGTAGGTTTGTCTCCACCAACTACTGTTATTTCTCTGACTGGGAGATCTAATCCTGTACTTCCTGGTGTTTCTGGGGTGAGGGAATCAATGTTTCTCCTGGGACCCACCCCTGAAATGGGGTTGTGGTCTGAACTAAGAATGACCTCATTGAGGTGCCTGGGTCCAGGCCCCCTTCTTGTTTCCCAACCTGGGGGGCGGGAGGGGGGGCGGGGTGCCATTCTGATGAAATCTTGAGTGGCACTGATTAGCCCAGTGATTTCGTTTGTTACAGTGAGGACAAGAGTCCTGCCGTTTTTTCCACTGGAGGGGGCCACTGCATTGTAAGGTCCTTTCTGTCCTGAAATCTGGTGGCATTCCTTTTTTCAATGTCTGGTTTTTCTGCAGGTATAACATTTTTCCACTTTAGGGTTTGATCCTTTGCTGCTTTTAGATTTGTCAAGTACTAAATTAGCCATGCTTCAGCTAACATTGAAGAGCGATGAAGCTCAGTTCCTACATCCTGACAAGCTCTGATAAAATTTCCCACGTTTTTTGTACACTTTACAGGTGCCAGTGCACATTTACAATCCATGTTTGCCTTCTCAAAAGCTAAAGTTAAGGTTAACATTTCGGCGGCAGCAGTGTGAGGAATTTGACGCTTCACTGCCTCTTGTAATCTTGCAAGAAATTGCGCATAGGGCTCCTACAACCCTTGCATGATATGCAAAAAGGATTGTACTGGGACTCCCTCTTCTGGAATTGTGACCCATATGTATTTAGCAGCCTGTGAACACTGCTGATAAGCAGGATCTGGGAGTGCCATTTAATGTTCCAGGTCTGAATAAGGGTCATTACCCAATAGCATATCCTCTGTAATGTCTCCTTGACAAGCGGCAAGATTCTGTCTAGCTTGGTCTGCACAGTTCTTGCTAGTTTAAATTCCATGTCAGATATGCACTAGCAGACAAGTTTGAGCCAAATGTTTTACATGAAAAAGTAGAAGGCACATAGCACCGAATACGGATTCTAGCAATCCTGAAGTGAGTGAGTTCAGTATTCCATTATTAACTACAGTCGTTTTTAATTCCTTCAACAACTAAACTCTAGCAGGGTATTTTCATGAATAAACTGGTGCAGATTGGATCAGGCCTGATGGAAATAGGAAAAGTGCAAGGTCCTAAGGGCTCTCCAGCTGTGGCAGCAGACTAAAATTTTTTGTACTGGGGTCTCTATTTCTGCTCCCAAAGGAAGTGGTACAGTTGTTCCTGTAACTGGAGGGGGTGGTAAAAACCAATTTTTATCTTCCCTCTCCTGTTTTTTATTTTCAATTGGATCTGTGGGTGGGACAACAGATTCAGATTTTTAGACTCAACCTGCTGCCCAGCAGAATAATGAGATAATGGCAGAACAGTACAAAGTAGACTCCACGTGGAGAAGACAGAAGAATCAACTTTAAGACCTTTATGATGAGCCTTTTTTAATCCTCCTCTGTCCTAGTTTTCCACATCAAGAGCGCCTGCCTGCCTGTGGAAACCATGGGTTATGCATAATAATCTCCTACAGAGGCTTAATGTCTGTGAATTAACCTGAGCTCCAGACTGTCTCAGTAGATTAAACAACTGCACATAGTGTTTTTCTTCAGCAGACAAATTCTGCCCCCTGTTACCCTGATTCAGAAAACTTACCGTTCCCAGTACTTTAGAGCAGTGACCTTGTATCGCTCTTAGTACCTCTTTAGGGCACTGACCTTATATCTGCTGCCAGCATACTCATCCAGGGTTCCGCGTTCACCTTGTCAATTTCAGTTCCTCTGCTCCAGCAGAACCTTCTTTGTGTCCTCAAAGTCCTGTGTTCGGAGGCCACTTGTAGACATCCTTGGAGTCCCTGTTCTGGGTCACCAGTTGCCACCTGCACAGACCTTGGGGGACTGAACAAAGGGGGCAAATGTGGGAATAAAAGACAAAGGAGTATATTTGGAAGAAGGGGTTGGGGGCTCCTGGCTTCTATTAAACAAGGACCCTGAGCTTTAGAGCCCTTTGCATTTTATTGGGTAAAGGAGATAGGGAAAGGGGGATGGTGATTATTGGTCAGCGGCTTAATTTGCAGCAGGCTTGCAATACTGCATTCAAACAATAGGCTCTAGATGTCCCAGTAGATAATTTCAATGAGCACGGCACCAGGGAGTGATTGCCTTCAGCAAATCTTCTGGTGGCAGGTACAGTCGTGAGTTTGCCAACATCCTGCATTCATGATAAACAGTTTGCTGTTTGATCATATATTCTCCAGTGGAATGCTGAGTTGGTCACATCTCTTGGGCCTTTAGCTTCCTACATGTGGGAACACTCAGTCCTTTTCTGGGGATGTGATTTTTCTGGTTTGTGGAAGTACCATTATTAATGTCTATGCAGCTGCTCTAGGCTTTACTGATTTTCCCTAAGAGGCTCATCCCTGCTTCTTCCCAGAAGCTTTCAGTTTCTGTTGTATTTCTCTGCTCATAATCTCTTTCAGATTTACCCATAATTCTCTTGACTTCTGCAGATTCCCCACTGCTCCAATGCATCACCTCAGTTCCTTCTGTTTTCTGCACTGCCAGCGTGATATACACAATATGCTGAAACTCCTACCAATGTCTGAGTCAGGTGAGGCAGAATCTGGACCCTCTGTCGGACACTAAAGATGCCATTATCATGGGTTGAAGTTCCATTCTTTTCTTTCTGTTTTAGAGAGGAGCTCTAAATTGGGAAGTAATGCAGGAAACAAGCCTTGTAAAAGTCAACTTGGATTCACTTCTCAGTTACATCTGAATGATCTGCAGCTATTTAAAGCTGAAAGGAAAATTTCTGGGTCTAAGCATATTGAAAAACTCATAAATGACAACTCCTCAGTTTCACTGCTTGAAAAAATTTCTTCCAGTGTCAAATCCCACCTTTTAAATAAACATAGAAATAATTTTGATGATGCTCCATTACTTCCGCAAGAACAGAAAGCACACATTAGGGAAAAAGTTTATAAATGTAATGAGCTTGGCCAAGTCTTTAGAGCATCTGCAAGCCTTTCTAACCATCAAGTAATCCGTAATGCAGATAATCCTTACCAGTGCAATGAATGTGGCAAGGTCTTTAGTTGCAGTTCAAAGCTTGTGATACATCGAAGAATGCATACTGGAGAGAAGCCTTACAAATGTCATCAATGTGGCAAGCTCTTTAGTAGCAATTCAAACCTTTCACAACATCAAAGAATTCATACTGGAGAGAAACCTTACAAATGTCATGAATGTGACAAGGTCTTTCGAAGCAGTTCAAAGCTTGCACAACATCAAAGAATTCATACAGGAGAGAAGCCTTACAAATGTCATGAATGTGACAAGGTCTTCAATCAAATTGCACACCTTGTACGACATCAAAAAATTCATACTGGAGAGAAACCTTACAGTTGTAATAAATGTGGCAAGGTCTTTAGTCGCCATTCATATCTAGCAGAACATCAAACAGTTCATACTGGTGAGAAACCTTACAAATGTAAAGAATGTGGCAAAGCATTTTCAGTGCGTTCCAGCCTCATAACCCATCAGTTAATTCACACTGGAAGGAAACCTTACAAATGTAAAGAATGTGACAAGGTGTTTGGGCGCAAGTGTTTACTGACCTCTCATCAGAGAATTCATACTAGAGAGAGACCTTACGGATGCAATCAGTGTGGCAAGATCTTTAGTCAGAAATCAGACCTTATACGACATCGAAAAATTCATACTGATGAGAAACCTTACAAATGTAATAAATGTGGCACAGCATTTAGAGAGTTTTCAGACCTTACTGCCCATTTTCTAATCCATAGTGGAGAGAAACCTTATGAATGTAAAGAATGTGGCAAAGTCTTCAGGTACAAGTCTTCTCTAACCAGTCATCGTAGAATTCATACTGGAGAGAAGCCTTACAAATGTAACAAATGTGGCAAGGTCTTCAGTCGTAGTTCAAACCTTGTATGCCATCAGAAAATTCATACAGGAGAGAAGCCTTACAAATGTAATGAATGTGGCAAGGTCTTTAATCAAGCATCATACCTTACAAGACATCAAATAATTCATACTGGAGAGAGGCCTTACAGATGTAATAAATGTGGCAAAGCATTTCGAGGGCGTTCAGGCCTTACTGCCCATCTTGCAATCCATACTGAGAAGAAATCTCATGAGTGTAAAGAATGTGGCAAGATCTTCACTCACAAGTCTTCCCTCACCAATCACCATAGAATTCATATTGGAGAGAAGCCTTACCAATGCACCCTGTGCATTAAGGTCTTTAGTCACAATTCTGACCTTGCACAGCATCAGAGAATTCATTCGTGAGAGTCCCTACAAACTGTGTATGGCAAACCATCATCATGAATTCTAGCATTAATCAACATCAGAGGGTCCATACTAACTGGAAATCATAAATGAAATGTATGTGACACGGACTTTATCAGGGCCTGCCAAATCACTAGACATCACCACATCACTGTGGAGGATGAAACCACACAGATGAATTGTGTGTACTCGGGCCATTATTCAAGGACCATTACTGTAGAATACGGATAGGATTTACACAAGAAGTAACTCAATCTCTGGTTCTCTGATATTAATCTATGATATTGCATTCTGCAGAATGCTAAGTCAAAATATGTTGATTCTCATGACATGATGTATATCAAAGGTGCAACAGTATGTAAATGGCCAGTTTTATTCAGGCTATAAAAAATTAAATTTTTTGGGACCTGTAGAAAAGGCTACTTTATGACTTTAAAATCTCTTCACGTGCCTTCCATACAGGCCATTCACTGTGGTCCCTGGGAAAGAATCAGTAGGATGACAGGGCTGACTTCATTAGCTGAGGATTATTTCTATCCAGTTTCCTGATGAAGAAGGACATTGCCTTTTCAGATTAAATGTTGTCTGATTTAGAGAGCATGGAGAAGTGGGCAGAGTAACATAAAACTCTGATGACCATCATCATACTGTTGCAGTCAACACACTTTGTCTCGACCTAAGTGCACAGTGCTTCAGTTTCTACCAACTGACCATGAAATAGAGTATGCCATGATCTTAAGGCATGGGTTATTAATGGGAAGAAAGTAATAGGTTGCTAGTGTCTGATTATATAGTAGAAATAATTGAAGGAAAAAGGTAGACGCTTTCTCCATTGAATAGCAGTAGCTGCTGTTTAGCAAAGACTGATGAGAAATAGTCTTTTTTTTTTCCCCTCCCCGTGAGATAGAGTCTCACTCTGTTGCCAAGGCTGGACTGTAGTGGTGTGTTCTTGGCTCACTGCACCCTCCGCCTCCTGGGTTCAAGCAATTCTTCTGCCTTAGCCTCCTAAGTAGCTGAGACTACAGGTGTGTGCCACCACACCCAGTTCATTTTTGTATTTTTTGTAGAGACGGTTTATGTTTACCATGCTGGCCAAGCAGGTCTCCAACTCCTGACCTCAAGTGATACGTTCACCTCAGCCTCCCAAAGTGCTGGGATTACAGGCATGAGCCACTGCACCCAGCCTCATTTTTGAAATGAAAGAACAGATACCACAGTTGAGTGTTTAATCAAAATGACCAGATCAGCATATTCTTTTTTTATATGACACAGAGTCTCACCCTTGTCACCCAGGCTGGAGTGCGGTGGCACAATCTCGGCTCACTGCAACCTCTGCCTCCCTGGTTCAAGCAATTATTCTGTCTCAGCCTCCCAAGTAGCTGGGATTTCAGGTGCGTATTTTTAGTAGAGATGGGGTTTCACCACGTTGGCCACACTGGTCTCGAACTCCTGACCTCAGGTGATCCATTCCCCTCAGTCTGAAAGTGCTGGGATTAGAGGCATGAGCCACCATGCCCAGCCAAATCAGCATATTCTTGAGTAGAATTCACATTTAGTTCTTGGCATTATAAGTTGCAACTGTTTGATTTAGAATGTATGTAGCTCTCATGTTCGTACTAATAAAGTTTCATTTTTCCTGAGTGAATCATGTCTTTTCTACCATCATAATTTCATCCCACCTCAGGAAGATGGATACTCTGTAGCACACAGTAGTGCACCATTGGGATTTTAAGATTGGAGCATCCAGAGCAAGTTTTCTGGTTGTGAAATGAAACAACATGTCCTTTGGGTACATGTCCTTAGGTAAATGTGAATATGAGTAATCATATTTAGTACTTGAATGATTGTGTCTGTACTCTGCCCTAGAATGCTTCTGTGGGTACAGTGAAAATCCCATAGCAGTGCAATTCCAGCATCCTATACCCTCAAATGTGTTCATCGCCATTGGCGAATGTTCGCTGTATCATATTTCTATGTGCCTTTTTCTTGTGTGCCAAATTAGACCCATGGCACACACTTTCATTTTTATGAAGCAAAAATACAAATATGACAAATATGAGATAAAAATGTGGGGATAAGGTTAAAAATAGTGTAACAATCTCTTTTTTGTTCTTGTGCTCAGTGACATAATTTGAAATTATTAATGTTCATAAATTTCCTCATAAGGGTGGACACACAGAAAGGAATTGTGTTTTGCTTTGTTTGATATTTTAACTTGGAACTTCATATATTCACCCTCACAAGCTTTGTGGTAATTTGAACTTTTGCTCACTCCACTAGAACCTTGAAAAAAATTTTTTTTAGAAATTGAGACAAGGTCTTTTGCACAGGCTGGAGTGCAGTGGCGCAATTAGGGTTCACTGCAGCCTCAACCTCCCCGGCTTAAGTGATCCTCCTACCTTAGCCTCATGACTAGCTGTGAATGCAGGCACACACCAACACACCCAGCTAATTTTGGGTTGTTTTTCGTTAAAGATGTTTCACAATGTTGCCCAGCTGGACTGCAACTCTTGGGCTCAAATCACCTCAGCTTCCCAAAGTGTTAGGATTACAGGTGTGAGCCATGCACCTGGCCTCCACTAGAACTTGTTTGACGTCCACCTAAGGTTTGACTTGAATATTGGGAATCTCTGTCCCTGGATGAAGTGCAGTGGCGTGATCTTTGCTTACTGCAACTTCCACCTCCCCGATTCAAGCGATTCTCTTCCTCAGCTTCCCGAGTAGCTGGGACTACAGGCACACCCAGATAATGTTTTGTATTTTTAGTAGAGACAGGGTTTCATCATGTTAACCTGAAGGGGTGGCCTTCCCCTCCACACCTGTGGGCGTTTCTCGTTAGGTGGAACGAGAGACTTGAGAAAAGAAATGAGACACAGAGGCAAAGTATAGAGAAAGAAAAAGTGGGCCCAGGGGACTGGCACTCAGCTTACAGAGGACCCACGCTGGCACCGGTCTCTGAGTTCCCTTAGTATTTATTGATAATTATCTTTACCATCTTAAAGATAAGGGAGTGGCTGGACAATAGGATCATTGTAGGGAGGAAATCAGCAGTAAGACATTTGAACAAAATTCTCTGTGACATAAATAAGTTTAAAGGAAAATGCTGTGCCTTGAGATGCATATGCAAACATCTCCATAAACCTTTCAGCAGTATTGTTTCAGCCTATCACATGGGGAGAAACCTTGGACAATACCTAGCTTTCCTAGGCAGAGGTCCCTGCGACCTTTGGCCGTGTACGTGCCATAGTCCGGAATCCCAGTGACCTAGGTGAGGAGTTGCTATTCAGGTCAAATAAATTTTCTTCAGGTGACCCCACTGTCTCCAGCCAATAGTCCTGCTTGTGGGTCTTATGTATTTGTGTTTCAAAAATACTTGAGGTCCTGATGTGGGATTCTTACCTCCTGTGCACAGTGACTCATACCTATAATTTGAGTACTTTGGGAGTGTAGACAGAAGTATCACTTGAGGCCAGAACTTGGACACCTGGCTGGGCAACAAAGTGAGACTCCATCTCTACAAAGTAATAATAATATAAAACTAAAAAATTAGCACAGTCCAATGTCACAGGCCTGTACTTCCAGCTACTTGGGAGGTTAAGGTAGGAGGCGACCATGACCCCAGGAAGTCAAGGTTGTAGTGAGCTAGGATTGTGCCACTGCACTCCAGCCTGGGTGTCAGAGTGAGACCCTGTCTTTAAAAAAAAAAAAAAAAAAGTCTTAAACTAAATAATTTATACCTATTTTTTAAAGTTATTGGCTTTTTTAAAAAGAAAGAGTTGGTGACCTAACTTCACACTGGCCTTAGTCCTCTATGCCTAAGGTAGTGTCCCTAGGAAAGTTTCTGGAATTGAGCATTGGGTTGACCTCACCCTCTGGAGTGAATGGGGAATGTAAATGAAAAGTATTTCTATTCTGTGAGCCAGGGCGCCCAGCATTGTCTTTCTTTTCGCTTTCTTTTCACTCTGTCTTCTCTCTCTGCTTCCAGAGTACCTGGGACTTAAACTTTATTTTAATAGCAGGAATTCTCCTGGATCTAATCACCAACCGATTTTGCGCTGCCTCAGCAATATCAGTTTCCAGACTGCTGAGCAGATCTCGCTTCCAAAACCCTAAGACAGGATCGCAGAGTCAGGCTGACAGAAGCACAGGCCCCGTCCTGGGCCCGCCCTGTCCCTGCCCCGCCCTCGGCTCCCGGCCCCGCCTGTACGATGCGCGCGCAATTGCCTGCAGACCCGGAAGTCGAGATCGTAGAGTGGACGTTTCGCGCGCTTTTTCCTGTAGCCCCGGCAGCAGATTGCGTGGAAAGACCGTATAGCCTCTGCGCGTGAGTTTGTCGTTGTCTAGATTAAATTTAGGCTGCCCAGTTCCTCTGTGCTTCTACACCCGCAATCTGAGGGTTCGTGCAGACCTTGAAGTCCCGGCACAGCTCCATCCATTCCGAGTAAATTCAGACGTCCTCTGGAGAGTCTGGAGGTCGCTTCCCTGCGTCTTAAAACTGATTGGAGGCTTCGGGGCCGGGCGCGATGGCTCACGCCTGTAATCCCAGCACTTTGCTATTTTTTTTTTTTTTTTCATTTTTTTGGTAATTATTTCAGTCTGTAGTTGGTTGAATCCATTGATGTGGACCCCAGAGATACCAAGGGCTGACTTTAGACTCTATCTGCTCGTTATTCACTTAATAGTCTTTTTTTTTTTTTTGAGACTGAGTTTTGCTCTTGTTGCCCAGGCTGGAGTGCAATGGCGTGATCTCCGCTCACTGTAACCTGCGCCTCCCTGAGTCAAGGGATTCTCCCACCTCGGCCTCCCGAGTAGCTGGGATTACTGGCATGTGCCAACATGCCTCTCTTTTTTTTTTTTTTTTTTGAGACGGGGTCTCGCTCTGTTGCCCAGGCTGGAGTGCAGTGGCCGGATCTCGGCTCACTGCAAGCTCCGCCTCCCGGGTTCCCGCCATTCTCCTGCCTCAGCCTCCCGAGTAGCTGGGACTACAGGTGCCCGCCACCTCGCCCGGCTAGTTTTTTTGTATTTTTGTACTAGAGACGGCGTTTCACCATGTTAGCCAGGATGGTCTCGATCTCCTGACCTCGTGATCCGCCCCTCTCGGGCTCCGGAAGTGCTGGGATTGCAGGCGTGAGCCACCGCGCCCGGCCTACCAACATGCCTCTCTAATTTTGAATTTTTAGTAGAGGTGAGGTTTCACCATGCTGGCCGGACTTGTCTCCAACTCCCGACCTCAGGTGATCTGCCTGCCTCATTCCCGAAGTGCTGGGATTACAGACATGAGCCACCACACTTGGCCAATAGTCTTCTTTTTGATGAGATCCACCTTTGTAGTATCTCAATTTTTTTTTAATGTAATTTTTTTCCCCCTGCTTAACAATGCCCTCCACGCACATGAGTATTGATGCTGACAATTTGGATATGCCAGTGAGAAGCTGTAACATGGAGTCTTTAAGTGAAATTAATAGGATTCAGTACTGATGGAGGTTTCAGGCATCCACCGGAGCTCTTGGAACATAGTGCAACCGATAAAAGGATTCTACTATATTCTGTATCTAGAATTGAGCGCTGTGATCCACAGAGGGCTGAGGGGCCTGTGCTTTGCATGAGGTTTGGTCAGGATGATGAAGTCAGTGCTTTTTTTTTTTTTGAGATGGAGTCGCACTCTGTCGCCTAGGCTGGAGTGCAGAGTCACAATCTTGGCTCACTACAACCACTGCCGCCGGGATTCAAGCAATTCTCCTGCCTCAGCCTCCCGAGGAGCTGGGATTACAGGTGCCTGGCACCATGCCCAGCTAAGTTTTGTATTTTTAGGAGAGACGGGGTTTCACCATCTTGGCCAGGCTGGTCTTGAACTCCTGTCCTCGTGATCCACCCGCCTCGGCCTCCCAAAGTGCTGGGATTACAGGTGTGAGCCACCGTGCCTGGCCTTTTTTTTTCTTTCTCTTTTTTTAAGACGGAGTTTCACCCTGTCGCCCAGGCTGGAGTGCAATGGTGCGATCTCGGCTCACTGCAACCTCTGCCTCCTAGGTTCAAGGGATTCTCCTGCCTCAGCTTCCCGAGTAGCTGGGATTACAGGCCTGTGCCACCACACCCAGCTAATTTTTTGTATCTTTAGTAGAGATGGGGGTTTCACTACGTTGGCCAGGCTGGTCTCATGATCTGCCTGGCTCGGCCTCCCAAAGTGCTAGGATTACAGGTGTGAGTCATGGCGCCTGGCCAAGTCTGTGCTTTTAAGGGGAGCTCAGTCCAGCCCAGCTCCACACTGCTGCAGCGTGTGTGTTGCTCACCAAGAGAGGAGAGAGTTTTGAGGAAGGGAGTCAAAAACTCACTTGTTGATTTTCCTGTAGGAGATCAACAGTGGGCAGCCGAGGACCATCAAGGGTGAGGTCTTCCCTTTTTGTGAGGCTATGGCACAGGAAGTAGGTGTGTTGATTCTAAGCCCTAAGCAGCATTATTTTTGATATTAGGATTCACTTTCAAAGAGACATATTATGCAAGGAAACAACTCAGAAGAGGAAAGAAAAGAAGTCAGGAATGGCCCTCACTCATGTAAGGTAATATTCTCAGTGGATTCTTCTGTCTCTGTTTCTTCCTGAAATGCCAGGCATTGGAGTTGCCAATCTCTGACTCTGAAGGATCCTGCCTGACTCATTTCATTGCACTTACCCATGGCTTCTTCCAGTCCCTTTCACTTCCACTTAAGATTCCAGTTCCCTATTACCCAGTGACATGAACTTGGGAAGAGGTCCCACTGGGCATGGACCTGCAAGGGGCTCACATCCAGACATGGAAGGAGATGGGGTTAGGGCCCTGTGGTGTCAGTACTGTTGGGCAGCAGGGATTGTTCAGGGGCCACAACTGGATGCACTGAGAGTGTTCTGTGGACTAGGATTACAGAAGCTGCATGTGGAATTCCTTTTTTTTTGTTTGTTTTGAGACAGAGTCTCACTCTTGCCCAGGCTGGAGTGTGGTTTTGTGATCTCAGCCATATAAATGTATATGTGTACTAATGTATATGAGTGTTAGTATATATAAGTGTGTCCATGTGATATGTTTGCATGAGTGCACAGATGAGCAAACCTATAGTGTTTTATAAATAGCATGTCATAATTTTATGTTATATATATTTTATCAGTTGAAATTATATCTATTTATCAGGATATTCAAATTTTTCTACATTATGTTAATGAGGCAATGGCTAAAAGAATCTTACAGTAATGTATTATGGGGATATCTATTATATACATGCACATATGATGAACTTTTAGGCAATTTCGTGTTTTTAATCCTTGAAGTTGTTTTGAATTTACTGAATTAGGTAATTGTCAATTTACTTTTGATGCTGATCTGTTACTTAACTGTTTGGTTCTTTAGGTTTGATTCTCATGCTCAGAGACCTGGGATCTGGTGCTTACTCTGCTGTTTCAGCCCTCACACCTGGGGCAAGCTAGCGTGCATGTGAAAGAGTTGTCTCTTCAGTAAGATAGGAACAGATCATTCTTTCATTGGCTTTTGTTGCTATACCAGTTCATGTAAATCATTTAGAATAGTGCCTATCACATGGGAAGTGTTCTATTCAGCCATTGCTACTGTTATCATCACAGTTTTCAGATTTTGGCCATTTTAAAATTTTATTTTATTTTTTTTGAGACAGGGTCTCACCCTGTCACCCAGGCTGGAGTGCAATGGCACAGTCTCAGCTCACTGCAACCTCTGCCTCCCAGGTTCAAGCCATTCTCCTGCCTCAGCCTCCTGAGTAGCTGGGGTTACAGGTGCACACCTCCATGCCCAGCTAATTTTTTGTATTTTTAGTAGAGATGGGGTTTCACTGTGTTGACCAGGCTGGTCTTGAACTCCTGAGCTCATGATCCACCTGCTTCGGCCTCCCAAAGTGCTGGGATTACAGGCGTGAGCCACCACCCACGGCGCAGATTTTGACCATTTTTAAAAACCACTATAGGTCGGATGTGGTAGCTCATGCCTGTAATCCCAGCATTTTTGTAGGCCGAGGTGAGAGGATTGCTTGAGCTTAGGGGTTTGAGACCAGCTTGGACAACCTGATGAGACTCTGTCTCTACAAAACATACAAAAATTAGCTGGGCATAGTGGTGTGGGCCTGTAGTCCCAGCTACTTGGGAGGCTGAGGTTAGAGGATTACTTGAGCCTGGGAGGCAGGGGTTTCAGTGAGTCGATATCACACCCCTGCACTCCAGTCTGGGAAACAGAGTAAGATCCTATCTCAAAAAAAGAAAGAAAGCACTTTAGACATTGTCATCTCTGAAGACACTACTTGTATCTCAGGTAGATACTAAATGTCACTTCGTGTGTCAAAAATAATACTTCACATTTCTTTTTCTTTTCTTTTTTTTTTTTTTTTTTTGAGATGGAATCTCACTCTGTTGCTGAAGCTGGAGTACAGTGGTGCAATCTCGGCTCACTGCAAGCTCCACTTCCTGGGTTCACGCCATTCTCCTGCCTCAGTCTCCTGAGTAGCTGAGACTATAGGCGCCCCCCACCACGCCTGGCTAATTTTTTGTATTTTTTGTAGAGATGGGGTTTCACCGTGTTGGCCAGGATGGTCTCGATCTCCTGACCTCATGATCCACCCGCCTCTGTCTCCCAAAGTGCTGAGATTACAGGCGTGAGCCACCGTGCCCGGCAATAATACCTAACATTTCTGTAGAGATAAACCTGGTTTAATTTTTTGTTTGTATTACTTGTATTATCCACAAAATGAAACATGTACTCTGATTTAAAGAATGTCACCACTTCTTATGGAAAAGTGTAATGAAACACAATCACAGACACATAACTAACTCAAGAATACGTTAATGTGGATTTGTCGCAATGCTCACTTCAATGCAGTCAATCCTTCCAACTGTCTTCTCATTCTCTTTGAAGATAAGTACTCTCTCCATATCCTGTTTTTGAAATGTGGATTTCCTTTTAGGGACAATTGTTATTCAGGGATGTGGCCATAGAATTCTCTCAGGAGGAGTGGAAATGCCTGAACCCTGGGCAGAAAGCTTTATACAGGGATGTGATGTTAGAGAACTACTGGAACCTGGTCTCCCTATGTGAGGATAATGTTCCTCCAGAAGCCTGGATCTGCTCTGGTATATCTTTTTGCATTTTCTCTTATGTGTCTCTTGGGAGCCCCTGCATTGCTTGACTGAGATTGAAACCTGTTGACTGAGAAATGAAAAGCATTATGCTTTCTGGACTTGAAATGTCCCCTTACACCAGCCTGATCAACATGGTGAAACCCCATCCCTACTAAAAATACAAAGATTAGTCAGGCATGGTGGTACATGCCTGTAGTCCCAGCCACTCGGGAGGCTGAAGCAGAAGAATTGCTTGAACCTGGGAGGCAGGGGCTGCAGTGAGCTGAGATCATGCCACTGCACTCAAGCCTGGGCGACAGAGTGAGACTCTGTCTCAAAAAAAAAAAAAAAAAAAGTCCCCTTTCTTCAGATATTCTGCTTCCTTCATGATTCGTCATTGGTGGCACCACTGCTGAAGTAAGCATGAAACCTTATGACAGACTTAATAATTATTCAGTTCCCTGTTTTATACCCCTGTGCTTTTGATTCAGTAGTTCTTGAAAGGGGGCTTGATGTCTACATGTTAAAATGTTCCCTCAGCATTCAGAAGGTGGCAGTCAGTGGATGAATTTGTGAAATATTCTTGATTAATTTGTAATATGCTCTCTCCTACCTAAATATAGGGCTTAGACTTCAGAGATGCCACAGCACACATTTATTCTTTCTTTTTATAAATAGGAATCTGTCTTCCTGACCTGAGTGTTATATCCATTTTGGAGCAAAAGAGAGATCTCTGGACTCTGCAGAGTGATGTGAAAGTAGCAAACAATCCAAATGGCAGGGAGTACATCAAAGGTGTGAAAACAGGTGAGAATTCGGGTGGGCAGAGTGGAGGCCCCATAATTTTTGTTTTTTGAGACAGGCTCTCACTTTGTCATCTATGCTAGAGTGCAGTGGCAATCATAGCTCACAGCAGCCTTAAACTCCTGGACTTAGGGATGATCCTTCTGGCCGGTCTTCCAAAATGTTGGGATTACAGGCTTGAGCCACTATACTCTGCAAAGCCACACTATTACATTGTGTTTGGGAAACTCTGCAAGTGGGAGAATTCTGTGGGAAAACCAAAGTTGAAATCCTTTGAGTTGTGAACAGACATTTGTCTTTTTTTTTTTTTTTTTTTTTTTTGAGACGGAGTCTTGCTCGGTTACCCAGGCTGGAGTGCAGTGGTGCTATCTCGGCTCACTGCAAGCTCTGCCTCCTGGGTTCACTCACGCCATTCTCCTGCCTCAGCCTCCCGAGTAGCTGGGACTACAGGCGCCCGCCACCACGCCAGGCTAGTTTTTTGTATTTTTCAGTAGAGACGGGGTTTCATCGGGTTAGCCAGGATGGTCTCGATCTCCTGACCTCGTGATCCGCCCGTCTCGGCCTCCCAAAGTGCTGGGATTACAGGCTTGAGCCACTGCGCCCAGCCTGTTCTCTTGTTTTTAATGATTTCCCATGTTTGTTATCCTCATTCTTTTCACGTATTATTTTTCTCATTTTATTTAATTTTCTGTCTCTGTTATCTTTTATTTTGGTATCTGGAGTTTTATTTATCTATTTATTTGTTATTCTTTAAGCCATATTTTCTCATCTTTTCATAGGCCTTTATAGTAGTTTTTGGTTTAGGTTTGGAAAAACAACCACTTTTTTCAGTTATTTTTTATAATGTGCTGTGGGAGACCTTACTTCTTGTAAGGGTATATGAACACTCGATTCTTTTCTGGGCTATATCTTTCCTGACTTTGTGAAAGTAGTATTATAAATGTCTACACTGCTGCTCTTAAATATCTTATTTTCCTTAAGAGACTTATCCCTGCTTTTCACAGAAGCTGTTAGGTTCTCTTTTATTTGTCTGCTTATAATCTTTCTCAAGCTCTCCCATAGTTCCCCTGACTCCTGCAGATTCCAGATGCTCCAGTACATCACCTCACTCCCTTGTGTTTTCTGCATTACCAACATGTTATACAAAGTATGCTGATACTGGCCGGGCACGGTGTGTCAAGCCTGTAATCCCAGCACTTTGGGAGGCTGAGGCAGGTGGATCACGAGGTCAGGAGTTTGAGACCAGCCTGACCAACATAGTGAAACCCCGTCTCTACTAAAAATACATAAAGTTAGCCAGGCGTGGTGGCAGCCACCTGTAATCCCAGCTACTCAGGAAGGAGAATTGCTTAGAATTGCTTAAACCCAGGAGGCAGAGGTTGTAGTGAGCTAAGATCACACCATTGCACTCTGGCCTGGGTGACAGTGTGAGACTCCATCTCAATAAAAGCAAAGTATGCTGATACTTTCAATGTCTGAGGCAAGTGACACAGAATCTTGTTTTCTGTCAGACTTTAAACATGCCAGAATCAGGGATTAAGTTCCAATGTTTTCTTGCTTTTCTAGAGAAGAGTTCTAAATTGGGAAGCAATGCAGGAAATAAGCCACTTAAAAATCAACATGGATTACCTCTTCAGTTACATCTGGCTGAATGGCAGCTACTTCAACCTGTAAGGAATATTTATGGATGTAAGCATGTTGAAAAATCTATCAGTGACAATTCTTCAGTTTTACCAGTTCAAATAAGTTTTTCCAATGTCAAAACCCATATTTTTAATAACTACAAAAATGATTTTGGTTTTTCTACAATACTCCCACAAGAACAGAAAATACACATTAGGGGAAAACCTTATGGATGTAAAGAGCATGGCAAAGTCTTCAGAGCGTCTTCAAGCCTTACTAACCATCAAGTAATCCATATTGCAGATGTACCTTACAAACAAAGTGACTGTGGCAAGATCTTTAGTAGCAATTCAAATCTTGCACAACATCAAGGAATCCATACTGGAGAGAAGCCTTACAAATGTAATGAATGTGGCAAGGTCTTCAGTCAGAATTCATACCTTGCACAACATCAGAAAATTCATACTGGAGAGAAACCTTACAATTGCAATGAATGTGACAAAGTCTTTAGTCACCATACCTACCTTGCACAACATAGGAAAATTAATACTGGAGAGAAGCCTTACAAATGTAGTGAATGTGGCAGAGCATTTAATGTGTGTTCCAGTCTTACTGCTCCTCTTGTAATCCATACTGGAGAGAAACCTTATGATTGTAAGGAACGTGGCAAGGTCTTCAGTCACAAGTCTTCCCTAACCATTCATCGGACAATTCGTACTACAGAGAGACCATACAAATGTAAGGAATGTGGCAAGGGCTTTAGTCGAATTGCATTCCTTGTAAGGCATTGGAAAGTTCATACTGGAGAGAAACCTTACAAATGTAATGAGTGTGGCAAGGTCTTTATTGGCAATTCACGCCTTGCACGACATAGGAAAATTCATACTGGGGAGAAGCCTTACAAATGTAATAAATGTGGCAAAGCATTTAGACAGTATTCAGATCTCACTGCCCATTTTCTAATCCATACTGGAGAGAAACCTTATGAATGTATGGAGTGTGGCAAGGTCTTCGGGCACAAGTCTTCCCTAACCTATCACTGTAGAATTCATACTGGAGAGAAGCCTTGCAAATGTAACGAATGTGGCAAGGTCTTCCGTCAGAAGTCACACCTTGCACGACATAGGAAAATTCATACTGGAGAGAAGCTTTACAAATGTAATGAATGTGGCAAGGTCTTCGGTCAGAATTCACACCTTACACAACATAGGAATATTCATACTGGAGAGAAGCCTTACAGTTGTAATGAATGTGGCAAGGTCTTCAGTAGGAATTCACACCTTTCACGACATAGGAAAATTCATACTGGAGAGAAGCTTTATAAATGAAATGAATGTAGCAGGGTCTTCAGTCAGAATTCACACCTTGCACAACATAGGAATATTCATACTGGAGAGAAGACATACAGTTGTAATGAGTGTGGCAAGGTCTTTAGTAAAAATTGAATCCTGGTACAACATTGGAGAATTCATACCAGAGAGAAGCCTTAAAAATTTAGTGAAGCTGGTAGGGCACAGTGGCTTACACCTGTATTCCCATTACTTTGGGAGTCCAAGGTTGGTGGATGATGGGGTCAGGAGATCAAGACCATCCTTGCTAACATGGTGAAACCCTGTCTCTACTAAAAATCAAAAAAAAAAAAAAAAAAAAAAAATTAGCTGGCTATGGTGGCAGGTGCCTGTAGTCCCAGCAACTTGGGAGGCTGAGGCAGGAGCATGGCGTGAACCTGGGAGGTCGAGCCTGCAGTGAGCCAAGTGAGCCACTGCACTCCAGCCTAGGCAACAGAGTGAAACTCCGTCTCAAAAAAAAAAAAAAAAAAAAAATTTAGTGAAGCTGTCAGGCGTGGTGGCTCATGCCTTTAATCCCAGTACTTTGGGAGGCTGGGCCGGATCACCTGAGGTCAGAAGTTCGAGACCAGCCTGACCAACATGGAGAAATCCTTTCCCTACTAAAAATACAAAATTAGTTGGCTGAAGTGGCAGGCACCTGTGCTTCCAGCTACTTGGGAGGCTGAGGCAGAATTGCTTGAACCCAGGAGGCCAAGGTTGTGGTGAGCCAAGATCGCACCATTGCACTCCAGCCTGGGGAAGAGGAGCCAAAAAAAAAAAAAAAAAAAAAAAAAAAAAAATAGTGAGGCCTTACAAAAGTAATAAATATGGCAAAGAATTTCTTACGAAATCAGGCGTCTCTATCCATTTGTTAATCCATACTAGAAGGAAACCTTACAAATGTAAAGAATACATGAAGGTCTTCAGGCTCATGTTTTCCCTGACCTCTCATCAAGAGAATTCACGCTGGTGATTGACCGTAAACATGTAACAAGTGTAGCAAGATCTTCACTTAAAATATACACCTTGTAAACTATCTTAGAATCCATACTGGAGAGAAACCTTACAAATGAATGTGACATCTTCAAATAAAATGCACACCTGGCACAACACTGGAAAATTCATACTGCAGAGATAACTTTTAAATGTAATGAATGTGACAAGGTCAAAGTCACAACCTTGTACATCAAAGAATTCGTACTGGAGGCTGGGTGCAGTTGCTCATGCCTGTAATCCCAGCACTTTGGGAGGCCAAGGCAGATGGATCAGTTGAGGTCAGGAGTTTGAGACCAGTCTGACCGACATGTTGAAACCCCATCACTACTAAAAATAATAAAATTAGTCAGGTGTGGTGGTGGGTGCCTGTAATCCCAGCTACTCAGGAGGCTGAGGCAGGAGAATCACATAAACCCGGGAGACGGAGGTTGCAGTGAGCCAAGAATGTGCTACTACGCTCCAGCCTGTGTGAGTGTGATTCCATCCCAAAAAAAAAGAATTCATCCTGGAAGGAAGCATTACAAATGTAATGAATATGGCAGAGTATTTAGAGGGTGTTCAGGTCTTACTGTTTATCTTGTAATTCATAGTGGAGAGAAATTTTTTTTTTTTTTTTTAGAAACAGAGTCTCACTCTGATGCTCAGCCTGGAGTGCAGTGGTGCAATCTCAGCTAACTGCAACCTCCACCTCCTGGGTTCAAGTGATTCTCCTGCCTCTACCTCCCAAGTAGCTAGGACTATAAGCACATGATGCCATCATGCCTGGCTACATTTTTGTATTTTTAGTAGAGACAGGTTTTCACCACGTTAGCCAGGCTGGTCTCAGACCCACCTGGGTAACATAAGGACAACTCCACCTCTACAAATAAAAAAATTTGCCAGGTGTGTTGGTACATGCCTGTATTCCCAACTATTTGGGAGACTGAGGCAGAAGGATCATTTGAGCCTGGGAGGTTGAGGCTGCAGTGAGTCATGTTTGCAGTGCTGAACTCCAGTCTGGGTGACAGAGTGAGACCCTATCTAGAAAAACAAAGAAACAAATCAGCGAACAAACAATGTGAAAGGTCTTCAGTCACAAGTATTCCTTAACCAATCACCATAGAATTCATACTGCAGAGAAGCCTTACAAATTCAGTGAATGTGGCAAAGCATTTAGATAATGTTCAGGCCTTATTGCCCATCTTGTAATCCATACTGCAGACAAACTTTACAACTGTAATGAATGTGGCAATGTCTCCAATTGAAATTCACACCTTGCAAATCACTACATAATGGAGAGAAACCTTACTAATGCAAATCACCACATAATGGAGAGAAACCTTACAAATGCAATGTACACGGTAAGATGTTTTCGTCACAATTCACACCTTGGACAGCATCAGATAATTTATTCATGAAAGAGTCCTTACAAACTGTATGGAAATCTCATCATGAGCTCTAGCATTAATGAACATCAGAGATTCCATACCAAGGAGAAATCATATAAATGTAATGTATGTGACCCAGGCTTTCCTGAGGCCTTCCAAATCACTAGAAATCAAAATACACTTCTTGGATAAAACCACACAGATGGATTGTGTATACTGAGGATATCCAAGGACCATTACTGTAGAACATGATAAAATTTAATTATTCTTATCTTTTTTCCTGTAAATGTTGAGAACAGGCCCCCAAATCTGGCCAGAAATAGGGTCCAAAACTGGCCATAAACAAAATCTGTAGTGCTGTGATATGTTCTTGATGGTCATGACGCCCACGCTGAAGGTTGTTTGTTTACCAGAATGAGGGCAAAGAATACCTGGCCCACCCAGGGCAGAAAGCCGCTTAAGGTTTCCCTGAACCACAAATAATAGCATGTGCCATCTGTGCCTTAAGGACATGTTCCTGCTGCAGATAACCAGAGCCCATCCCTTTGTTTGGCCCATCCCTTTGTTTCCCATAAGGAATGGTTTTATGTAATCTATAATCTATAATGCTTATCACTGGCTTGCTATCAATAAATATGTGGGTAAAACTCTGTTTGTGGTTCTCAGTTCTGAAGGCTATCAGCCCCCTGATTTCCCACTCCACACTCTATATTTCTGTGTGAGTGTCTTTAAGTCCTTTAGCACCACTGGGTTAGGGTCTCCACCACTGAGCTGGTCTCAGCACAAAGCTACTTGGGATCTTGATATGTGCCTCCTCCTACAAGCCTTTCACTGTGGTCTCTGGGAAAGAATCAATAGGATGACAGGGCTGATTTCATTAGCTGGAGATAATTTCTATTCAGTTTCCTGGAAGAAGAACACTGCCTTTTTTTTATTAAATGTCTGATTTAGACAGCAGGGACATGGGTAGAGAATAACATAAAATGATGACTGCATGAAGCAGTCAGGCTTATTGCCTTCTGCCCACCCTTTTCTTGACAAGGGTGTAGTGCTTCTGTGCTCTAATAGCCATAAAATAGAGCATTCCATTAAAGGCATGACATTTTTATGGGAAGAGAATAATTGTTGTTTGGTACTGATTACATGGTAGAAATCATGCAGGGGAAGGAGTGATTACCTCCTCAATTGAATAGCAATAGTTCCTGTTTAGCAAAGATGGAAAACAGTAGTCTTATTTTTGAAGTGGAAGAGAAAACATGCATTTTCTCTTAAGTCTGAGCACACGGAATGGGAATGTTATTAATTTTCGATAACTTGATGACAGTGTGCTTAGGTGATTATCTTTTTGGGATGAATTTCCCATGTGTTCTTTGAGCTTCTTATGTTTGGATGTCTAGGTCTCTAGCAAGGCTGGGAAAGCTTTCCTTAATTATTACCCTAAATATGTTTTCTAAACTTTTAGATTTCTCATCTTCCTCAGAAATGCTGATTATTCTTAGGTTTCATTGTTTAACATAATCCCAGACTTCTTCAAGGCTTTGTTCATATTTTCCTATTTTTTCTTTGTCTTTGTTGGATTGCGTTAATTCAAAAACTTTGTCTTACTTTGGGAGGCTGAGATGGGCAGACGACAAGGTCAGGAGTTCAAGACCAGTCTGGCCAATATAGTGAAACCCCATCTCTACTAAAAATACAAAAATTAGCTGGGTGTGGTAGTGAGTGCCTGTAGTCCCAGCTACTCCGGGGGCTGAGGCAGAAGAATTTGCTTGAACCTGGGAGGTGGAGGTTGCAGTGAGCCCAGATCTCACCACTGCACTCCAGCCTGGGCGATGGAGTGATACTCCATCTCAAAACAAAAATGCCTTGTATTTGAGCTCTGAAATTCTTTCTTCTGCTTGTTTGATTATTTTGCTGAGACTTTCCAGAGTGTGTTGCATTTCTGTAAGCACATCCATTGTTTCCTGAAGTTTTGATTGTTTTTTATTTGTGCTATCTATTTAACTGAAATTTCTCTCCTCATTTATAGTATCATTTTATTTCTCTAGTGCCTCCTTGATTAGCATAATAACTGACCTGATTTCTTTTCAGGTAAATCAGGGATTTCTTCTTGGTTTGTATCCAATGCTGGTGAGCTAGTATGATTTTTTGGAGGATGTTAAAAAATATTGTTTTGTTATATTACCAGAGTTGGCTTTGGTTCCTTCTCATTTGGGTAGGCTGTGTCAGAGGGCACGTCTAGGGCTTAAGGCTGTTGTTCAGATTGTCCCACGGAGTGTTCCCTTAATGTAGTACTCTCCCCCTTTTCCTAGGGATGTGGCTTCCTGAGAGCGGAGCTGTAGTGATTGTTATCTCCTATCTGGATGATCTAGCCAGCAGCAGATCTACCAGGCTGCAGGCTGGTACTGGGAGTTGTCTGCACAGAGTCCTGTGATGTGAACTGTCTGTGGGTCTCTCAGCTGTGGACACCAGGACCTGCTCCAGTGTAGGTGGCAGGGGGGTGAAATGGACTCTGTGAGGGTCCTGAGTTTTGGTTGTTTAATATACTAATTTTGTTCTAGTTGGCCTTCTGCTATAGGCCTCCTTTTTTTAAAAGGATGAACAGTATTTCATTGTCTATATATACTTTTTTCTCCATTTGTTCGTGATGAAAATGTAAGTCTTGGCTATTGAGAACAGTGCTGCAGTAAACATGCGTGTGCAGATTTCTATCTATTCTCATTGCCTCTCTCTCTCAATCGTGCACTTGCTCGTGCTTGCTCTCACTCTCTCTCTAGTTCTCTCTTTCCAGCAGTGGGATTGTTGGATCATGTGGTAGTTCTGTTTGTAGTTTATTGAGGAAACTCCATATTATTTTCCATGACGGTTATACTAATTTGCATTCCCACCAACCGGTGTGCTAGTATTTTCTTCCTTTGCATATTCACCA